CGTTTTGCTTCATCTGAGATCTGGTGTCTGTGGTTCAACTCTGTAAATATAGAAATTCTGTTTTGTTTTTACAGGAGAAATCACCTGATGAATATAAGATAAGACAAGACTTACATAAAGATTTACAGCTAAGATTATCTTTGGTTAGTATATTTTTGAATTATTTTCTTTTTCTAATGTATGTTGTTATTGCATTTATTAAATTTTCATATCATTCATTGAACTTTCATGGGAATTTCATGGCATTCATTGAACTTTCATGACATTCACTGAGCTTTCATGACATTCACTGAGCTTTCATGACATTCACTGAGCTTTCATTGTATTCAGTGAACGTTCATTGCATTCATTGAACGTTCATTGCATTCATTGAACTTTCATGGCATTCATTGAACTTTCATGGAATTCAGTGAATTTCATGACATTCATTGAACTTTGGTGTCATTCATTGAACTTTCATGACATTCACTGAGCTTTCATTGGTTTTATTGAACTTTCATTGTAATTATGAACTTTCATTGTAATTTTGAACTTTCATTTTGAATTTTTCATGTCTAAAACTAGGTGTTTAATACACTATTACAGGGTTAAAATAAAATACAAAATGTAAGGTATATATATTTTATTACAATTATAGGTTGGTGGTATGATAGATACAATACAGAGAAATTCTACCACTACCAGTGAATGGGCCTTGTTATTACTAATGTTAATAAGTTATGGTGTAGTGGACACACAGACCACAAATAAGTTAGTTTCTTCTTTCAATGTGCTTGATTAAAAAAATGAAATTGGCAATTTAGGGGCACATAATTTATCACACCATGTGCATATATAGATGTCAGATATAACTGAACAATTGGCTTTAGGGTGGTTTAGTAAGTTGGGTGCATGCGTGCTAAGGGTCGGTGATGATCTCAGCAAAGGTCAGGTTTGCATGGGATTTTAAACCAAGTTAGCATGGGATGATAAACCAAGTTTTTTGAATGGGATGGTAAACCAAGTTTTTTGCATGGGATGATAAACCAAGTTTGCATGGGATGATAAATCAAGTTTGCATGGGATGATAAACCAAATTTGCATGAGATGATAAACCAAGTTTGCATGGGATGATAAACCAAGTTTTTTGCATGGGATGATAAACCAAGTTTGCATGGGATGATAAACCAAGTTTGCATGGGATGATAAACCAAGTTTGCATGGGATGATAAATCAAGTTTGCATGGGATGATAAACCAAGTTTGCCTGGTATGATAAACCAAGTTTGCATGAGATCATAAACCAAGTTTGCATGGGATGATAAATCAAGTTTGAATGGGATGATAAACCAAGTTTGCATGGGATGATAAACCAAGTTTGCATGGGATGATAAATCAAGTTTGCATGGGATGATAAACCAAGTTTGCATGGGATGATAAACCAAGTTTGCCTGTGTCCACAGACTGTACATGTTAATATCCCTTGAAAGCTGGACATGTAAAAAGTGTAGGCTATCACAGCTGTCCTGGCAAAATTTCTCTCTTTACACAAGATTGCTCTTCAGCATCATTGCCCAATTCGGATTAGAAAAGACTTCATTTCAATAATAATAACTTGTAATATGATAATTAATCATATCTATGTATTTACTTTTTCAGTGAATTATTTACCACTGTATTAGATATGTTATCAGTCTTGATTCACGGAACTCTCCTGTCAGAAGAGGGAGATAAAGGAGAAGAAAATAAGAAAGCCTACACAAATCTCATCAAGAAACTTAAGGTAGCCATTTTTTAATATTTTTTTATTTAAATCATTTCTGATTTGCTGGTAAATACTTTGGATGTGTCATTTTTCCAAAAAATTCATGAAGCAAAAGATTTCTACAATTAGAACCCTATACATTGAGATTGTAAGATTATTCAACTTGATATAGTGCTCATTACTGCTCTTACATGTGTGTTCAATGGGATTTTACTAACACATATATATCTCTGCATAAATATACCTCTATACAGTAACATATAACCTTGTTCTAATGATAATTTATTTCTAATTGTAGAAAGAATTAGGTGATAAACAGTCAAATTGTATTGACCGATTACGACAGTTATTACCTATACCTAAACGTCAATATGAGGTTATAACCTGTGAAACATATGGTACATTAGTAGATACTAAAGGCAATAAAATAGCAGGATTTGATTCGATTGGCAAGAAACAGGTATGTACATGTATTCACTATTTTATAATGAAACAAATTTTTTGAGGAGACTGTAGCTCAGTTGTTTATAGTGTTTGAAATCTCATGACATCATTCACTTGGATAAATTCCAGAAATTATGTTCATGCAACCAAATTCGGGTAGGTAAGATCGGTGTCTTTGAATAAGTCATCTGCCATTATTATTCCAGTTGACCCAACTGTGATGGGTACTTATAATATCAAAATTCATGGCCACGAACAAACTGGTAGAAAAAGATTCTTAGGAACCTTGCTATAGAATTACAGTTTAAAAAATGAATCAATTTTACTGAAACCAATTTAAATTTGCAGGGATTACAAGTTGCTCAAAAGATAAAGGTGAATCCCTGGGAAGTTATAGAAGGTTATAGAAACGCACATTGTATACCCTGGGCTAACTTCAGTGCTATCAAAACAGAGAAAAAAACATTACGTTATGAAGAGCAACACAGGTTGGTATAATATCTTTATATCTCCTTACTTCATTATCTTTATCCCATTATTTCATTATCTTTCATTATCATATTATAGTTCATTATCTTTAGATCTCCTTACTTCATTATCTTTCATTATCATATTATAGTTCATTATCTGAATCTCTTTATCTCAATACTTGATAATCTTAGCCTCTTTTTTACTCATTACTTCATTATGCCAATCTTTTAGTATTTCATAACTTCATTATCTTTATAACATACTATCTTTATCTTTTTACACACTTACTTCATTATCCCTTCATTTTTTTTTCATAACTTCATTATAGCCTTATCTTATTACTTCATTATCACCATTTCTTTATTTGATTGCTTCATTATCTCTTTGTCTCAATACTTCATTATCTCAATATTTTCTGCCAAATAATTCATTATCTTAATCCATTTATCTCATTATATCATCCCCTTATCTCATTACTTCATTATCTCTTAAATTCATTGCTCCATTATCCCTATCTCTTAATATCGCATACTTCATTATCTCTTTATTCCCTTACCCCAATCTCTTTCTCTTTATTCCTTTCTTTCATTATCACTTATTACTTAATTATCTCAATCTCTATGCTAAACCAAATCTGTTTATGATAATTATCATCATTTCTTTATCAGGTTATCTCTGTACCACTCTCATTTGTTAACTCAACCTGATGAATATTATCTGGAAGCACCACCATTACCACCAGAAGAACTAGAGCCACCGCCAGAAAAAGTGGTAAGTATTTGTGTTCATTGATTATTTACCTTATTGCCTAAATAAAGGGACTAAATTCAGTAGGGGATGATAAAAAGGAAAAAGGCGAAGTGGAAAGGGTTGTAAAATTTCAAAGGCTCTTTTGTGATTTTAAACATCAGCTTCTATCTATTTTTACAGGAAGAGAAAGTTAAAGATACGTTAGATATAAATAACAGTGATGGAGGTAAAAAAGCTAAACCTACCAGGAGAAGAAGACAATCTAAAGCTGGTTCTACACCTTACATGCAGGTAGGTCAATCTAAGTAGATTTGCATAGATTTCCCAAGATGCTGGAGCTCATTTGTATTGTTTGAGCCCTGGTGGCTTGGCGAGTTGGAACTGAAAGTTCACCACTTTACTTGTGGACTGTTGGAAATCATACCACTGTCTTGACAGATCTTCCTAATTGCACACTGTAAGGTGGTGTCCATCTTCATTAGCTCAATTCGGTGCAGTACTAAGTTCCATAGGTGTTTATGGTTATTCTTGAATTGTTTTATGTTTTCAGCCACCAACTGTTCGTCCATATCCATATGGTCCAGAACCGAACATGTACCAACAACCAGGACCTAGTAATTGGTACAACAATCAACCACCACAACCTCCTCAATATGGTTATAATCAACCAATGACACAAAGTAAGATACTATTATTATTGGTACCCCTTGAGTTTTGGCCTATCTAATGAAACGTGGGTGGCGCTGGATTGGTGAATTCTGAACAGGTTCCGTCTGTTCCAATTCTGCCCTCAATCGAACTTGTTTTATTGAACGTTCTGTTGATTCCATCAATTCGAAACATGCAGATCTTACCAATCAAGCGGCCCCTTGTTTTCAAGTTTTGAGAAGACCAGGGTTAGTCACTGTTAGAAGTGGACATTGAAATTTTAGGTAGTTTCTTCTTGCATCTAGTGTAGGTTAAGGCCGTGCTGCTCAACCGCAGCAAGATTATTCCTATATTATTCCTACCCGAAAGAGTTTTTCAAAATCTTCCCGCCCCCAAAATAAATCAGACATTTTGAAATGTATTTTATTCCAGCAAAAAATTGGTCTCATTGCGTGCTACAAGAGATTTACTACAGCTATTGCGTTAAATTCTAATTTTTTTGACCAAATTGTGATGATGATTATCCAAATTCAGATTTTTTTTTTTTTCAGATCCTCGACCAAGATTTAGCAATATGTACAACAATTCCAATTCCAATAGCAACTCCAAAATGATGCTAAATAATTTCCTACAGAGTAGGACTAAACCTCCACCAAGTGGTGCCGGCTACATGGGACCTGGTGCTCAACCTCAGATGCAAAACATGATGCAGAAACATCACAACCAGCAGCTGATAAGGAACCACATATTTCAAAAACACCAGAAGAACTCTGGAATGTATGGGAACAACATGCCATCAGCTCCAGGACAACATGTTTCTATGCATCCAATGCAGCAAGGTTGGTTGGTTGGTTCAATTGATTGAAAAAGATTGGCATTTTGGGTTAATAGAAAATTTTGATGTATTAACTTTTCATGTATGGCGCTTTTGATTCAGTTTTTCTAAGATCCTGTGTGCCAGCTGGTCTTTGGTCAGACCTCTTTTGATTGATCTTTCCCACAATTTCTATACCCATTTACAGCTGGTTGGACTTGAATAATGATTAAGGATGACTTATTCAAGGTTATCTTGATAAAAAGCATAGGCCGTGGACTTTAAAATAGAAGCATCTTGCTTGCACAAACAAAGTAACAGCTGAAAACTCTGAAATATGCTGAAATTAGAATTTTCAAGACATTTTTGTTTAATTGATATTGTATCTATATGGAATCATGTTATATTATTGTAGGAATGTCTGGTAATTACCAGGGATATAATGCCATGCCTCAGCCTGGTAATAGAATGATGGAGACTATGAATACTGGAATGATGTCACAAGGCTATAACCAGTCCTATCAAGGCACCCAGAGTGCTGGCATGATGAACAATGGAGCCAACTTTATACCTCAACAGACCATGCCCCAAACACAACAAACATATAATCCACAACAAAGGTAACAAAAACCTCACAATTTGAATTTTAAAGGGATGTTGTCTAATTTCTTTTTAAAAGTTCGAAAAGAGCCCAATTTTAGCCATGTGTATCACTTAACAGAGATAAAATACAACCTCTGGTTCTTCTGTAATTCAACAATGATGTGCTGTGTACTGTTGTCACAGGTCATTGTTATTAACATGAGGTCAAGCTGCCAATGTGTGTTCCATAAATTAAATCCTCATCATGGAAATCCTCATCAGGGAAGTGCTCATCAGGGAAAGCCTCATCAGGCAAATCCTCATTAGGCAAATCCTCATTAGGCAAATCAATCCTGGTCTGGCAAATCCTCATTAGGGAAGTGCTCATCAGGGAAATCCTCATCAGGGAAGTGCTCATCAGGGAAAGCCTCATCAGGCAAATCCTCATTAGACAAATCAATCCTCGTCAGGGAAAGCCTCATCAGGCAAATCCTTGTGAGGCAAATCAGTCGTCGTCAGGGAAGTCCTCATCAAGGAAATCCTCATTAGGCAAAACAATCCTCGTCAGGGAAGTCCTCATCACGGAAATCCTCTTAGGGAAAGTCCTCATCAGGGAAGGCTCATCAGGGGAATCTTCACCAGGGAAATCCTCATCAATGGAATCTTCATCAGACAAATCCATATCAGGCAAATCTTTATCAGCGAGGGGAATGCTCAAACTTTCCAATTCTAGGATTTGAGGTGATGAGTATATACAGTAAACAAACTCACTTAACAGGAGAAAAAAATCAACTTCAAGAATATTCCATTGTAGTGTTCAGATATCTAATAATTGTATTTTAATATTTCAGGTTACAACAGTCTATGGGAGGAGCCGGTACCATGCCCAATAACAATATGTCTGGTTATAATCAAATGGGTCCCAGCGGTGCACCATCTCATCCATCCTATAACATGAGAATGCAGCAGCTGCGTCATCAGCGTATGATGCAAATGCAACAACAAGGTCAATCTCAAGGTCAACCACAGCAACATCCCAATGCATCTATGGGGGTACAACCCTTTAATCAGATGCAACATGTCCAACAAGGACAACAATATAACTATCAGTTTTAACGTGTTCCTTTTTTGACGATATTATTATGGCTATTCACTGCAGATCTGACAATATTTACCTGATTGTACACAGTATGTTGTTATCAGTTTCCGTTGTTACAATCCAAATTTAAGCCGTTACCTATGGTGGCTTATAGATTATCTAGAATGAAATATAGATTATTGTAAGATAGAAAATATGAATTTTGATTTAAATTTCTAAGACAAGATTTGAGGTATCAAAATATCTAATGAAATTTATATTGTATAATTATTGTATATATGTAAATACACAAAAAATATTAAGGGCAAAGAGGAAATCGTTTGTGAGAAAGTAAATTATTCCAGAATAACTACTCTTTAAAAAAGAAGCATTAGAAGTCTGGTATTTTTAATGCATTTCATGTAAAAGTCATTTCTAAAATTCTGTATAAAAGAATTTCCATTGTATCATTGTAAAATAAACAGTGTACAAAGTATATTTGTGACTTGTCTGTACCCGCCACCGGCATCGGCATCTGTTTCTATCAATAGTCGACTCTGTCTACATAGATATATACTATGTAGATAGAGTCGACTATTGATAGAAATAGATGCCTGTGGTACCCGCGTCCGTCTTTGTCTTGAGCGGTTATCGTATCTTAGTCTCAGAAACGGGATATTTTGGAAAAAATAGCGCATCTATCACTTGAAAGGAAAGTTTCTCGTATTTTACGGCGAATTGAGGCGGATGCAGCCCTCCAACGGTGGCTGTCGAAAATATATTGGGCTAAAAAAATTGGACTGAAGAAACGGAAAAAGCAATCGAAGGAAATTTTTCCACGATAGCCTACTCTCTTTCAATTATCCGACGTCGAAGGATTAAAAGTGCACTTTTTGTAGCATACGGGTCCTCAATTTAACGTCTCCGACCACATGTCGCCTTTTTCATGCAAACTAATCTGACCAGCATCACCGACCGAGGGAAACCAGGTAAAAAATAAGATTAGCAAGCGTACCATTCAAAGAGCCACCGAAAGCTAAATTTCAATCGTCAAATTATCCAATAAAAATATGTTCTTATGAGATAATATATCAAATTTATTTACAAAAAATAAGCCTTATTATACAATAATATTTTGTTTGTACAAAAAAATATTTGTTGTTAAAAGTAAACAAATGAATCGCGAAATAACCATAAAATGAAAAACGTTATTTTTTTTACATTTTACATACAATAAAATGACTATTATCATACAAAGTACAAATACTAACGTACTCCACTATAACTAAAAGCATGAGTAAACTAAAAGCAAAATACTTCAAAATTTAAATAACATTAAAAAGAATATCGCTGTTAAACGGCAAGATAAATGAATAAATACAAATTAATTTTGTACACCATGATAAAGAAAAATAATAACTGAATAAATTCATTGGGTTATTATACGGGATTTGTGACGTCACCAAACTGCATCTTTCAGATTTGGTGAAGTCATAATAATGATGTATCAAAATGACTGATTCCATTTCAATGGACCAAAAATTTATTTCACTTATAAAGAGTCCAAGGGTGTGGAGGGGCGGGGGTGTG